TAATAATTCTGACCAGACGAATACTTATTGCTAGTTGCCATTCCATCCCCAAACACATCACCTTGAATTATTTAAAATTCCAATTTATTATGCGCTCAATTTTTCCCGCGCTCACATAATAATATACGATTATTGCGCCAGATACACACACGCGCGCACGCACGCACACACAGTGAACGCACAAACACATACACACATATACACACACAAACAACATACATACATACATACAAAAACAAACACACACGCGCACACACACAAACATACACAGACACGCATATACACACACGCACACACAGACACGCATATATACAGACACGCACGCATACACACACACACACATATGTTTGTACACTGTGCATGTAAAAGTATGTTTTCGTTTGAAGAATTTCTAATACTTCATATTTCATATTTAAATTTATGGAGCTTCTGTTGATCCTTTCACCGCTTCGTCGTCGTCTTTTGTGTTTGTTTCATCATGATGATGATGGTGATGAGGAGGAGGAGGAGGAAAAAGAAGATGATGATGATTTCTCAATATGATGATTGTGACGATGGTGATGATGATAGCTTGAATGATGGTGAGTGATGAGACAAAATAAATGGTTTTAACATTTTAACGTTCTATAGCATTGGTTTTTAGGTATAACTTTGTATTGGGTCATTATTTATTGTTTGTGTTGTGTTGTTTGGGTCCCCTTGCCAAAAAAATTTATTATTTTAATGAGTTTTAATTTGATAATAAATAAAGAGATAAATAAAGAAAAATGATTTAAAACGAAAAATTAAAGAACAAACAAAGCAAAAAATCCACCATACAAAGCGATTAAATATAAAACTGAATTCGAATGTTGGATGAAAAACCTCAAGGTTTGAGAAGAAAGTGATGAATGACTCCAACATGAAATATCTTGAACAATTCTCAACCATGCTCCAATGCACACATTCATGTAAACAGTTGTGTATTATTTCTGTTCAGGCATATGGGTATTTTGTAAGTATGTGTATGTTTGTGTATGCATGTGTTTGTATGCGTGCGTATGTGGTTGTGTCTGTGTGTTATTGTTTGTATGTATGTTCCAAACATACATACAAAAAAATATACATGTATACAAATAAACAAACAAACATGCAAACAACATACGAACAAACAAGAAAACAACATACATACAACATCAAACCATTTCATCTCATCTTACCTGCATGCATAGTAGCACTATACACATTTCCACATACATACATACATACATACATACATACATACATACATACATACATACGTACATACGTACGTACATACAGTGTCTTGTCTATGTCTACTTATTAAGGTCAACATATGCAAGTCACAAAATTGTATTGGACGGTCGTACACGCATTATCATTATCATTAAGTTTGGTTTGGCTTCCAGTCAAATCATCTTATATGCCTCTATGTTTTTGTGAATGTGTGTGTGTGTGTGTGTGTGGGTGTGTGTGGTTACATATATGTTCATGTGTCTGTGTGTATGCATGTGTGAGTGTATGTGATTATGTATGTATGCTTAATCGTAGGCTACGTGTGAAGTTGATTTAATATATGTATGATGAGCTAGGAAGTTATGTCTTATAGGGATGCATTCATTAGTAACACACCTAACTCTTTGCCAGTCTAAATTTGCGTTCCAGCTCATAAACCAGCCAGCAATTACAAGATTATAAACAGCAGCAAAAAAATACAATATATAAGTAATTCATATGAATAACTAAACACAAACACTTAAATATATTTAACTTTAGCCAAATGCACATAGTCAAATATACCTCAGTATTAATACCGGTATACAAGTATCCATATATCAGAAAAACCTATCTGTAAGACAATTGTATACAAATAACATGCAAGATTAATAATGCATGTTTTTAGCTGTTATGTATACAAAACAAGTTAACTTGTTTATTTTGAATACAATTTTTATTGTATAACTTTTTTTCATACAGACATACAAACAGCTAAATTTATTTGAAAAAATTATTCTGTTTTTATGTTTGTGTTTGTAGGTTTGTATTTATTTGTTTGTTTTGTATGTTTGTGTGTGTCTGAATGTTTTTGATTACATTTTAAAATTAGCCTTTGTTTACTTTTGTATATTTGTATGTGTTTTTTTAAATTTTTCGTTTATATACAAAAACATTACCAAACGTTTTTTTTGCGAAATTGTATTTTTGAGACGAAATAATTGGAAAGTAGAAAAATGGTTGTATTGTGCTGGAAGGAAGTCACTTTCTGATGTCTGAATATTTGTGTTTCTATGTTTGTGTTTGTAGGTTTGTATTTGTTAGTGTGTGTTTGACTGTTTTTGTTTACAATTCAAAGTTAGCTTTTGTTTACTTTTTTATGTTTGTCTTTGTTTATTTATTTACGTATGTTTTTGTTTATTTATTTTTTGTTGACTTTTCAAATGTTTGTATGTTTGCCTTTGTTCGTATGTTCATGTTTACGTTTGTATATTTGTGTATTGTATGTTTCTTAGATAAGTTCGCCGTCTTCGCGTGTGTTTCGGCACTCGGTGTAGCAGGCATTTTAGTTCGTTTAGTATCCTAATTTGAATTTATCCATTTTTATTATTTTCTTTTGTTTCGTTCCTCTACAATGTTGCAGAATGTTTAGTCATGTGTTGTTGTTTTTGTTGTTGTTGCTGTTATGCATTCATTCATGTTTACGAACAGGGTAGAAGACAGGTGCATCCAATGAAGGGAGGGTCCTGGTTGCCCCTACAAAAAAACTTTTGAATTTGTACATGAACTTTGTTTTTTATGGGCTAAGTTCTTCTTAAAAATAAATAAATTAATTAATTGAAAGCAAATTTTGGTGTATGTGGCGTTAAGTTTTGTATAATAATTTCTATCAAAAGATGACTGGGGTAGGTCAGCAAATGATCAACAACTTTTAAATTTTCAAGCTTTTCTCAATGGCGTACCATACAAACATGCAAACAAACATACACACAAACATACACACATACATACATACAAACAAACAAACATACATACATACAAACAAACAAACAAACAAACACACATACTGCCTACCTATTGCTTTCAAATTCGAATACAGGTATCGGTATATTATAAGCGTTTATAGTAGGTTGTTTTCATCTGATCAATAAACATTTTGTATATATAGAAACGTCGGCCAAACATAAACCTACATACAAACGTAATTCATCACGTGTATACAACACATGCATACGTGCGTATGTACACAATTCGTGCATATTTCATGAGCGTACAACAGTCCGTGTTCGCTGCTTATGAATTTATGTATACGTTGTTAATGAATGATTGCATGATTTTATTTACAAGTTTTTTTTATAGATGCACTATTAATCACATATGTTGCGCACATTGGCTTCCACATTCTACTAATCACTAAATCTATCTATCTAACTTTTTTACTGTCTGTCTGACAATTTATCTATTTTTCTATCCAATTGTTTATTTGTTCATTCATTCATTCATTCATTAAAAAATTTGTTAATTTATTTATTTTTCCATCTTTCTATTCATTTAGCAATCAGTCTGTCTATCCGTT